TCTAATATACAAGCCGAGAGAGAGAGAGAGAGAGAGAGAGAGAGAGAGAGAGAGAGAGAGAGAGAGAGAGAGAGAGAGAGAGAGAGAGAGAGAGACGTGAGGTGACACATGTGTGAACTTCGTGGCATGCACGCATGATAGCCAATCGCCGGGAAGACATGATGTCATCCGAACCGGCGATTGGCCCTCACACACACACATTGGCCTCTACACACACACACACACACACACACACACACACACACACACACACACACACGCATGTGTGAACTTCGTGGCATGCACGCATGATAGCCAATCGCCGGGAAGACATGATGTCATCCGAACCAGCGATTGGCCCTCACACACACACCTTGGCCTCTACACACACACACACACACACACACACACACACACACACACGCAGACGCAGACGCGCGCGAGCGCGCGCGACGACGGGACGCGCCGCTGGCGATGGCAACCGTCCGTCGGCCGGCGCGCGGATGACCAACCAAACGCACTACCGGTCGCCGGCGAACCGACACGGCCCTCACAGCCCTCGGGAAAAACAAAAAAAAAATTATAAAAAAATTGTGACGGCCTCCCGCAATGCCACCAACCACAGGTATCACGTTCGACTATGCGAGAGGCCGACTGCCCAAAAGTGAAAACGCAACTTTTCCCAAAAAAAAAAAACAACTACCAAAAACGAAAAGTACCGCGGGACACAGGCTCGGCAAAAATCGGCGCACACTATAAATCAGGGTCGGCAAAAGCAGGCTCGGAGGTACTGGTGGTTTAACTCAAGATCTGTACTTTCACAGTTCATGAGTTTGCAAACTAACCTAGGCCCCTTGATGACTGGGAACTTGGGAAGTAACGACCGTTTGATCCCTGGGACCAAGGGCCTGGTTTTGAGTTCGCACAGGTTCCTGCCATCTGATCTCAACATGTAATCATTCCACTGTGGCAATGTCCACATTGCGAAACACTCGGAAGTAAGACTAAACCCCAACTAGTGGGACATGAACCCCATTGACAGATCATATGTGATCTCACACACGCTGCTATTTGCTGGAAACGGGGTCCAACATTGCAGTAGGCCACTGACGCTGGACCCATTTTCCAGCAGGTGAGGCTCCCCACTAATAGACTGGAGCAACAGGACAGCGCACTAGGGGAGGATGCTCTTATCACCACCCCTAGTGAAGCTGCCCTGTTTTTTGTGTAAAAAAAAAGAAAAGAAAAAAAGAAGTCCGTTCTGATCATTGCTGGAATCGGACCTCGTTCCAACCCCCTGTATTACCGTTGTTATTACCCGTTTCCCTTTCCTCCCTCCGTGGTGGGTGCTGATGCAAGACCATCATCAAGGGGGATTCAAAGGAGAAAAAAAAGAAGGGGGGCAGCACCTGCTGCTGCTGGGAATGGGGTGCAGTGTCCCTATATTCGAGGTGCATAGCGAAAGACAGCACCAGAGGATACTACTGGCTTATCCATCAACTGTGTGAGGTGCAGTTTGAAGTGGATATGACTGGGGACAGTCAATCTCCCAAGGCATTGGCCACTGGCCAGGGATTTTTCTTTTTTTAACATGATCCTGCAGGCGGCCTGCAATCATGAGGATGGTAAGAGCTGCTGACGGCATCGGCGGAGGATAATCAATGCTGCACAAGGCTACTAGATTTGCCCGGGATGAAAGAAATAAAAAAATAATAAATAAAAGTATTTCTTATTTTTATTCTGAATTTTGAATTCGGTAAAGATTTTGGATTTGAC